TTTGTGTTGCAGAGTGATCTTGTTATTGTCTCATTTTATTATGATTCCAGACTGCACTTCTGACATTCTGTGAGACTGTACATGCCCAAGGGCAGAACACAAGGGTCTGGCCATGAACATCAGACTAGCTTGTACTGAGGTCTAAATGTGAGTGTCAGATCAGTTCTGGATGTCAGGGGCTGTTTTTGTTTGCTTTCAACACAAATATTGGGCACAGTGTTTAGCACCTGTGTGAGTACTTTTAGCTCGCTTAATAAGGACCTCTGCTAAACTCTGCGGATCAAGCACACATGAGTAGCTGTACCCCCTTACAGCATCTGAGCTGGATCTTCACCTCTTCGGCTATGTCTCTGATAACAATGATAGATTATACACACACAAACAGAAAACAATAAATGCTAAAGTTAGGTTGTTTAGACATAAATAAACTAATCTACGTTAGCATTCTCTCACTCTGAAAAATTATTTTAATAGTAACATGTTTCCTAACTCAAGAAAACCATGATTCATAAGCTCTAGCCATGAATATCTAAGGGTTGTCAAAGACAGTATTTGGATTTCCTTTAAGTATCAGCCAGTAATCTTTAAAATGAAAAATGTCAGCATTTAACAGAGATAAAAATGTGGAAAAATAATTTTAAAACATCATATGTAAGTCTTTTATTAGCAATTGAGTTAATGTCCTCTGCAGATGGGGAAAGTTTATCATGTCAGCTGAGGTATTTTAAACATACTTAAATTAGGTTTTTAGGGTTTTGAGGTAATAAGCCACTTTGATATGTAGGTACTCTAAGCAAAATTGCACCAACAGAACAACTTACAGGCTTCCTAGACTAATCTGGATCACTCAGAACAGAAGGCACTTAGGAACACCTGGCCCTGGACACAAGGCAGTGACTAGGCTGTCAGCAGGTAACTTGGGGTATTGATTTTCTACTCATTTAGCTCTGGATAGGAGTAGATCTAGCTTAAACCTTTCAAGTTTATGAATGCTCACTTAATGCTTAAATTATAAAATAAGGGATTTACTAATACCTCAGAATCAAAATAAAGTTGCCACTAATGATCCTAATTTATCTTGGCTGCATTTTAAAGAAGGGGGTATAATACATTTCAGTCAGTAGAGTTAAAAATTATGTAACAGGCCAGATGCGGTGGCTCATGCCTGTAATCCCAGCACTTTGGGAGGCTGAGGTGGGCGGATTACGAGGTCAGGAAATCAAGACCATGCTGGCTAACATGGTGAAATCCCATCTCTACTAAAAATACAAAAAAAAATTAGCCAGGCGTGGTGGCGGGCGCCTGTAGTCCTAGCTACTCACGAGGCTGAGGCAGGAGAATGGCGTGAACCCCAAAGGCAGAGCTTGCAGTGAGCTGAGATTGCACCACTGCACTCAGCCTGGGTGACAGAGCAAGACTCCGTCTCAAAAAAAAAAAGTATATATATACACATATACATATATATAAAACAAATTTTTGTACTCAATTATACCCACACGAGACAGTGTTCACTTTATGTTAGGAGCTATTCTAAGTGCTTCTTCACAAACTGACTTGTTTTTTCACATAACGCCATAAGGACTCCCATCATCCTCATTTAAAGAAGAGAAACTGAGGCACTAGCCAAGTCACAACCAATAATGGTCAGGACGTTTTCAAACTCACGTGGTCTGACACCAGAGTCTATGCTTTTTTTTTTTTTAATTAATTAATTAATTATTATTTTATTATTATTATACTTTAAGTTCTAGGGTACATGTGCATAACGTGCAGGTTTGTTACATATGCATACTTGTGCCATGTTGCTGTGCTGCACCCATCAACTCGTCAGCACCCAACAACTCGTCATTTACATCAGGTATAACTCCCAATGCAATCCCCTCCCCCTTCCCCCCTCCCCATGATAGGCCCCGGTGTGTGATGTCCCCCTTCCCGAGTCCAAGTGATCTCATTGTTCAGTTCCCACCTATGAGTGAGAACATGCGGTGTTTGGTTTTCTGTTCTTGTGATAGTTTGCTAAGAATGATGGTTTCCAAATCAAAACCACAATGAGATACCATCTCACACCAGTTAGAATGGCAATCATTAAAAAGTCAGGAAACAACAGGTGCTGGAGAGGATGTGGAGAAATAGGAACACTTTTACACTGTTGGTGGGATTGTAAACTAGTTCAACCATTATGGAAAACAGTATGGCGATTCCTTAAGGATCTAGAACCAGATGTACCATATGACCCAGCCATCCCATTACTGGGGATATTCCCAAAGGATTATAAATCATGCTGCTATAAAGACACATGCACACGTATGTTCATTGCGGCACTATTCACAATAGCAAAGACTTGGAATCAACCCAAATGTCCATCAGTGACAGACTGGATTAAGAAAATGTGGCACATATACACCATGGAATACTATGCAGCCATAAAAAAGGAAGAGTCTATGCTTTTAAACCACTATGCTCTACCGCCCCTCTGAGAAGCCACAGTTCCTATTTTGTGACTCTAGACCCTGATTTTCCCCCCATCACGATGATGTAGAAATGGATGCCGAGGGCCAAGAGTTCACAGAAAGCAGTGCATGTTATTTCAGATTGTTTAAAAATTATTGTACCTATAGTTATGTCCCCTTTTTTTTTTTATCATGATGTCTATTTCTGCTCTTTTCCCTCAGTTTTTACTAGTCATTTCAATAACAGATTTAGGTTTATAATTTTTAAAAATTTTTCTATTATGTCATTGCCTCTTTTTTTCTCATTTATTTCCTTCTACTGGCTTTATTTCATTATTCTCTTATCTAGCTCTCTAAACAGATTTTTTACTTTACTTTTCAATGTCTTTTTTCTTTTTTTTAATACAGGGTCTCGCTTTATCTTCTAGGCTGGAGTACGTGGCAAGATCATGGCTCACTGCATGCTTGCTCGACCTCCTGGGTTCCAACAATCCTCCCACATCAGCCTCCCAAGTAGCTGGGACTACATTACACACCTGGCTAATTTTTGAACTTTCTGTGGAGACCAGGTTTCACCACGTTGCCTAGGTTAGACTTGACTCCTGGGCTGGAGTGATCTGCTCTCCTTGGCCACCCAAAATGCTGAGATTACAGGTGTGAGCCACCACGCCCAGCCTCAATATGTCTTGAACTGAAACACCCCTAATAATCATGGATTCTCATTCTCCTTGATTCCTCTTACAACCACCCATGTCAAGTTTTTGTGCCTATCACTCCACAAAAATCGCTCCTCAGTCTCCATAACCTGAATGCTGTCAAATCCTATGGATACTTCTCAGTTCTCCTCCTACTTGACCTATCAATTGTAATAGACACAGTTGCCCCTTAAGTTCTTCTTGAAACACTTTATTGTTCTTACTGTTTAATATTCTTGAGTTTCCTAACTGGCCATTGGTCTCAGTCTTAGCTGCTACTTCCTCCTCTTCCCAATTTCTCAACCAAAATCCTCCTCCAGCATTCATTTTACCACTCCCTTCAGTATACAACAGAAATATAAATATGTAATAATTGGTGATAATCATATTATTGATTCATTTGTGTTTAAAACAACTGAAAAGGAAGAATGAGTTTTAAAGTTTTTATTCAAATTCAGAATATTTTATATTTGAACTAAATTTTGAACTTTCTAAATGAAAGTTTACAACTTAAAGTTCACACTGCTGTATTGTTTTAAAACTTAAAAGCAAGTAAACTTTGTCAACTAAAATCAAAGTAACCAATATCTGGTCTGCCTGTCTCTAAAATGGCCATGCTGTCACCACATCCATCATTCGCGGTCAGTGGCCCTTAGACCAGTTCTTACACAAGATTTCTTTCCAGTACGACACTGTGGAGATGGCCACAGGAGGTTCTACAAAAATCAAGTGCTAGATGACTACTTAACATCTTCAGCCTGAAATGACTGCTACCTTTGCCTTCAATTCCTTCCCACACACCCAGGTATACAAATACGTTTTATGCCCAGAGTCCTCATAAAAGTAAACAGAAGGAACTCCCAGGGAAAAGGGAGGGCAGAAAACAGGAGGCACCTGAAGCCAAAACCTGGAGCAACTTTCAAGAAGGAAGACACGTCCCATTTTCACATCTCTGCATGGATCTCCATGGAGAACTAGAGCTAAATGTAACGGTTACACGTGGCAGAAAGACGACTCTCTAGCATAGTGTTTCTTTCACACAGGCTGCTGGAGTCATTCCACAAGCTCAACAATTTTAATAAAAAATATTTCCGCTAAATACTTTATATTCATCATAAAAAATGCACAGCCATTTTTTAAAAGGGCAATTACCCTAAATGAAAATTGCCAAAGCACAGATCCACTTTATATAGGATTTCTTTCCTTGCTTCTGATAAATTGCAAACAGAACTGGCAGAATTTATTTAACAAACATTTATTTTGGCCAGGCATGGAGTTTAAATTTTTGTGCATGTGCGTGGAGGCAGGGAGAAGTGATGTGAGAAAGTAAAAGAAAGACAGGTCATGCGGTAACCAGTGCTACAAAGAAACTAAGCAGAGTGAAGGGTTGGGGAGGCATGGAGTGGGGTAGGACTGCAAAATTTAGACAGAATGGGGTGCTAGAAAAGGTTGACTATGCTGTGGTAACAAGTTAGCCCCTGAACCCCAGTGGTGTAGCATAAGTTTATTTCTTACCCACATTCTGTGTCCACCACAAGTCACCAGTGGTTGTGCTCTAGTCATTCAGGGACACAGGCGGATGGAGGCTGCCCTATCTGAAACACGGGGCACCTCCGTAGTCCTGCCAGAGCTGCAGTAGCAGTGGACAAGAGCTGGAAAGTCACATATGGCGCCTTAAAGTCTTTAAGCAATCAGCTATAACTAGTATCATGGCCTCACCTACTGCAAGCGGGCTGAGAAATGGGAAGAGCTCATAGCATGAGCAATCAATAACGTCACTGGTGTCCAGGGAAGTCTTCTCTGACACAGGGAAATCTAAGCAAAGACCAACTGAAGAAAGAAGCTACACAGAAAGTTGGAAACAGTATGAAGTCATTTATGACTCCAAGAAATATTCTGTTTGTCTGCCATTTGTTTCCAGTGAACAGCCACACTAAATCTTTAATTTAGATATTTTGATAATTAAATGCATTAAAAATCTGTCTCTATTTCTGTGCTTAGTTCAAGTAATATCTTACCTCAGTGATTTTAACAGTCTTACATACCAGGTAGTATCACTGCCCTTACATTACATCATCCAATAATTATCACCTCCCAGGTAAAATCATAATACAAGGGCTGACATACTCATTCTTAATTGACAGACATCTTGAGTCCTCATTCATTTCTTTTCCATATGTTATTATTTTCTTATTACTTACCTAAAACTTAGCCTTATAGATAATGAAAAGGGTTCTGAACATTAAGAAATAATAGAACAGTTATAAATGGAGAAAAAAGTTTGAATAAAAAAGTTTCTTAGAAGGTTAGTCTCACTTGCAAAAATAGCTCTTTGAAATACAGGTTCCTATAAACATGTTACACACATTAAGATATTATTCTTACACATACTGGTAAGATAGACACTATACACGTTTGTCTCCATTTTAGGAAGAAATGAAGCAAGGCTATTTTTAATAATAGACTTAGAAACAATTCATAACCCCTAGTATTTGCAGGTTAATGCAAATATGAGGCAGCACACCACAGCACAGTGTAACTAAAACCTAAAATAGTGTTTCACTTCCTTCCACACCTACCTCTGTGCGCTCATACAAGTCATTTGATTTTGCTTTGCATTAGATGCTTCTGTAATACAGGCATCTGATTCACCCCACCTAAAGCTGTTGTAAGTAATCAATGTGAGAAAGTCTACTGATTGTTAAGCATATTTGTATATTTTTTACTAGTTATTTCATACTTGCCATGAAAGAGTACACACTCAAAAAGCTTGAAATTAGACAATGCCAATCTCATCAACCAAACCCAGCAGTGGAAGTGAGTATTAACAAATATCAGAATGAAATTACAAAATATACATCTCTAGCCTCATAAAACATTAATTTCATAAGCACTTTCATAAACATAAGAAAAACAGCTTTGACAATAACTATTTGAAAACATTATTATTAATGTATAATCTTGTATACTGTACATGTGCAAGTAAATGCAATAACCCCAACATTCATTATTTTATGAATGGGATACTTTATAAGAATTATAAATTATTTTTACATGATTAAATAATTGTGGCAGAGTAAGTCCGCAGGACTTAAATATCCAGTCAGACCTAGTATCTACATCTGGACCAGGAAGCCTTTGTGTTACAGATACAGATTCCCTGTGAAGTTCTCCAGGGTATAAAGAAGGCCCCAGTGAGGTGCCAATGGGGAGTGAGGGCTGCCTCTCAGCTCAGGTGAGCCTGCAAGCAACAGGGCAGTTTGGGGAGGGAAGGGAGCAGTGGCTAACTGGTGATTATGTAACATCAAACCAGGATGGTTTCTTCTTTTTAAAGAAACTTTTGTTGAGTGTTTACCCAACCCCATCCATACAAATATGCTCTCTAGTAAATGTGAAAGTATAAGCTTCAGAAAAATGTTTTTCTCCTCCTTTAATTTCTGGTTTTATGACCAAATGTTCCGAAGACACTGCTTCTTTTAGGTCAAAATAGTTGACATTTTCATTGCTTCTAGTTTTTCAGCTCCTACTATGCTTACTATGTCCATGAGTGCCACTGACATCTTTGGCTATTTATCATCTCTAGAAAAGAAAAAAAAATTAAAATTTTAGGATGTAGGATTCACAATAAATCTCTTACCAAATCCTCCTTAAGTCCCTAAACTCTCTACCTGGCTCTGACTCCAAGGATCACCCTTTCAGTTCTTTCCATGTTTTTCTTTGGAAAATGTAGTTTCCTAACCTTTCTACCCACGCTTCTAATCTACTCTTATATCTGCAGCCACAGTGATAGTTCTAAGTTGCAAACCTGATCACGTCCTTCTAGTACTCAGTCTTTCAAAAATCTTCCTACTTCCCGCCAGGGTGAAGCCTGAACTCTTTAATAGGCATCTAAGGACTTGGACCTGGATCCTGCTAACCAGTTAATTTATCTTTGTCTCTAACTCCCTCCCTTCATCTTTCAAGGCACAGTGCAGGACTAAACTCATCCTGAAAGTACTAAGCCTCGATACATCTTTAGGAAAAACACACATATACACACACGCATGCAAAGACAGGAAGCATAGCTTAGTGGTTAACCTACATAGACTGCAACTTGCCTAAATAATCCACTATTTATCTATGTTTTAATAAAATGAATTGCTTTAATACAAATATATGAAATTCATCTATCTTTTCTCTGGAATGCCTTTGCCTCTTCAAAGATTATACAATACACCCATATGTTACAGAGGAATATGTCCCTTCATTTATAAAATACAGTTAAGACATAGCACAAAAACTCTAGAGTAGGATAACTCTACTGGAAATATGCTAAATTAGGGTTCTGATTAGAGTTAGTGGAATTAACTCGGATGAGAGAGAGAAAACACTCACCATTAATCTAGGGGTAACAGAGAAGTTAAACTCCAATTCAGAAATAGAGCAGTTCAAAATCAGAATCTAGAATCAGTCTACATGGGCTTGATCTGGGAATGTGCCCTTTATTATACATGTAACCTTGGCAGCTGCTTGACTGAACAGGTCTTCGATTCCTCATGGAATGAATACAAGAAGATCTGATAAATGCAATTAGACAGTGCCTGAAACAGTAGTCCTAAGTGGGTATTTTTGTTGTCCCATTTTTTGAGAAACAAAATCAAAGGCAATTCAAACTGCAGGTTTCTTGATTTCATCCTAATACTTAGCAAATTAATCATAGAACCCAAGTGAAATTGCCTAGACTCTCAAAGAGTTCAAAAAACATTTCAAATACACTCAAAATTATCCTAGTTGACATTCACAGATTATCAAGAGTAAAGCACCTTCATACAGTTTTGATCCTCACACTATCTAAATCTGAGGAGCTGTCAGGAAAGACATGTAAGGAAAGATCTAAGCTGAAACTCAAACCACACATAAGGCTTTTGAACTGCGACCAACTAGTAGTTAAAATTAACTTTATGCTTCTCTGTCCACCTAAGGGCAAATTAAACCTTTAAGAAGGCAAAGGCTGAAAACTCTCAACAAACTAGGTATTGATGGGATGTATCTCAAAATAATAAGAGCTATTTATGACAAACCCACAGCTAATATCATACTGAATGGGCAAAAACTGGAACCATTCCCTTTGAAAACTGGCACAAGACAGGGATGCCCTCTCTCACCACTCCTATTCAACATAGTGTTGGAAGTTCTGGCCAGGGCAATCAGGCAAGAGAAAGAAATAAAGGGTATTCAATTAGGAAAAGAGGAAGTCAAATTGTCCCTGTTTGTAGATAACATGATTATAATATTTAGGAAACCCCATCGTTTCAGCCCAAAATCTCCTTAAGCTGATAAGCAACTTCAGCAAAGTCTCAGGATACAAAATCAATGTGCAAAAATCACAAGCATTCTTATACAACAATAACAGACAAACAGAGCCAAATCAGGAGTGAACTCCCATTCACAATTGCTTCAACGAGAATAAAAATACCTAGGAATCCAACTTACAAGGGATATGAAGGAACTCTTCAAGGAGAACTACAAACCACCGCTCAACGAAATAAAATGGGACACAAATGGAAGAACACTCCATGCTCATGGATAGGAAGAATCAATACTGTGAAAATGGCCATACTGCCCAAGGTAATTTATAGATTCAATGCCATCCCCATCAAGTTACCAATGACTTTCTTCACAGAATTGGAAAAAACTACTTTAAAGTTCATATGGAACCAAAAAAGAGCCCACATTGCCAAGACAATCCTAAGCCAAAAGAATAAAGCTGGAAGCATCACGCTACCTGACTTCAAATTGTACTACAAGGCTACAGTAACCAAAACAGCGTGGTACTGGTACCAAAACAGAGATGTAGAACATTGGAACAGAATAGAGCCCCCAGAAATAATACCACACATCTACAACCACCTGATCTTTGAGAAAGCTGAAAAAAACAACAAATGGGGACAGGATTCCCTATTTAATAAATGGTGCTGGGAAAATTGGCTAGTCATATGTAGAAAGCTGAAACTGGATCCCTTCCTTACACCTTATACAAAAATTAATTCAAGATGGATTAAATACTTAAATGTTATACCTAAAACCTAAGCAATACCATTGCTTAGAAGAAAACCTAAGCAATACCATTCAGGCCATAGGCATGGGCAAGGACTTTATGACTAAAACACCAAAAGCAATGGCAACAAAAGTCAAAATTGAAAAATGGGATCTAATTAAACTAAAGAGCTTGTGCACAGCAAAAGAAACTACCATCAGAGTGAACAGGCAACCTATAGAATGGGAGAAAGTTTTTACAATCTATCCATCTGACAAAGATCTAATATCCAGAATCTACAAAGAACTTAAACAAATTTACAAGAAAAAATCAAACAACTCCATCAAAAAGTGGGCAAAGGATATGAACAGACACTCTCAAAAGAAGACATTCATACAGCCAACAGACACATGAAAAAATGCTCATCATCACTGGCCATCAGAGAAAGGCAAATCAAAACCACAATGAGATACCATCTCACACCAGTTAGAATGGCAATCATTAAAAAGTCAGGAAACAACAGGTGCTGGAGAGGATGTGGAGAAATAGGAATGCTTTTACACTGTTGGTGGGACTGTAAACTAGTTCAACCATTGTTGAAGACAGTGTGGCAATTCCTCCAGGATTTAGAACCAGAAATACCATTTGACCCAGCCATCCCATTACTGGGCATACACTCAAAGGATTATAAATCATGCTGCTACAAAGACACATGCACATACATGTTTATTGCGGCACTATTCACAATAGCAAATACTTGGAATCGACCCAAATGTCCGTCAGTGACAGACTGGATTAAGAAAAAGTGGCACAGCGGGCGGTGCTCAGCCTGTAATCCAGCACTTGGAGGCCGAGACGGGGATCACGAGCGGAGATCGAACCTGGCTACACGTGAAACCCCGTCTCTACTAAAAAATACAAAACTAGCTGGGGGTGGCGGGCGCCTAGTCCAGCTACTCAGGAGGCTGAGGCAGGAATGGGTGAACCGGGAGGCGGAGCGCAGTGAGCTGAGATCGGCCACGGCACTCCAGCCTGGGACAGAGCGAGACTCCATCTCAAAAAAAAAAAAAAGAAAGAAAAGAAAAAGTGGCACATATACACCATGGAATACTATGCAGCTATAAAAAAGGATTAGGTCATGTCCTTTGTAGGGACATGGATGAAGCTGGAAACCATCATTCTGAGCAAACTATCCCAAGGACAGAAAATCAAACACCGCATGTTCTCACCTATAGATGGGAATTGAACAATGAGAACACTTGGACACAGGGTGGGGAACATCACACACCGGGGCCTGTCGTGGGGTGGGGAGAAGTGGGAGGGATAGCATTAGGAGATATACCTAATGTAAATGACGAGTTAACGGGTGCAGCACACCAACACAGCACATTTATACATATGTAACAAACCTGCACGTTGTGCACATGTACCCTAGAACTTAAAAGTATAATAATAAAAAATAAATAAATAAATAAATTTGAAAGGAAAAAAAAAAGGTGGCAAAGGATAAAATCATTGTTAGCTCACACATTAAAAAAGAAAATAACGGAATATATCTTCTTCAAGTCTCCATCCCTAGCGATGAGAACTGCACCTGGCAAACAAGAGGGCATTCAACACGTAGTATCTGTTAAAATGAGTAACTCCCCAAAAGTACTACGTTTCCCCAAACATGGTGTTGAAAACCTTACTGAAGCTAACTATGTGCGTCACCTACCAGGAGCCACATACATCCTGAGGGCTTCCCAGATCAACCCCTCATCCCTGCGACAGAGCCACAACCCAGCACCAGCTTCCCACGCCTGTCAGCGGAGGCCCCAGCCCAGGCAGGCCCAGGGACTACGCGACGGCGGGCTGGGCTTCCGGCCAGGTGGACGCTCGGCAGTTCCCCGGGTCCCCGGGGCGCGCCCCTCCCCGTCACGTCCCCCGTTCGCCGCGTCCACGCCTGCGGTTTCCCCGGGCCTGGGAAGCGTCTAGAGCCAAAGGCGCGGCAGGCGGAGAGGCCTCACACCGCCCAGGGGCTTCCCTGGGCAGAGGCCGACGCGGGGCCCAGGGACACGCTCCTGGGGTCCCCCCTACGACCCAGCGCGCAGCCAGCACCCGCAGCGAGCCCCCGAGCCCGAGGGGCGTGGGAACCACGCGGGCAAGCCGGCTGCCCTTCCAGCCCCGGGACGCTTCCCCATCGGGCCAGTGCTAGGCGGGCGGTCGGGACCCGGGGATCGCCGCCTCTGGAGCGCTCACCCGGGCGGCGCAGGCCAGGGACGCCCATGGACAGCGCGACCTCCTCCCAATCCACACACGCGCCCACGTCCAAAGTGCGCATGCTCGGCACCGGGGACCAATAGGAATCTCGATCGGGGGGTAGCTGGGGCCAATCACAGCGCGTCTAGCGTGTGGGCGGTGTCTCCTCCTGTTACGCGTGCGCGGAGCTGCTGCGTTGCGCGGTCCTGAGGTGGGCTGAAGGCTGGGCCGGTCTGCCTCACTGAGCCGGCTCAGCCAGCGAAGGTGTTCCTGGAACGTCAGACACTTAGGATGGGAGGTTCTTTCATCTGGAAGAGGGCCCTGGCGTCTGCAGCTTCCCTCCCTTCTGTCCTGCTGAGTCGTCCGCTCGTCTCCCGCGAGGCGTTTAGGTCTGGGCAGGCCACCTCTGCCCCATCACGATCCTGTTATTTTACTGTTTCATTATTTCTCTCACTTTCCTATTTGTTAAGTCAAACTTTTTCCTTCCATAGCCATGGCTCCTTAGAAGGCTACCCATGCCTCGACATATCTGACATTTGACGTTTTACCCAAATAATTGGCCAAAGTCTATTGCCTTTTTTAACTTGTATTTTCTAAAGCTAGTCTGATCCTAATCAACACAGTTTTTTTCAACAAGCATGTAAGTGTGCATATTTTAGACATGCGAGGGCTGAGTTTAACTAACTTGTGTTGTCTCAGAAGATTATCTAACCCCGTGCTTCAGCTCTCATATATAAACTGAAACTTTATAGACTCACTGGTGGCCTGTAAGCCTTAAGTTAAAACATGGAGCCTATCAGAACTGTGCCTGGCACGTGGTGAAATGTTCAAAAGTTAATATTGTTATTAGGTGCTGGGCAGTTTTCTAAGCCTTCGGATATAGGGATCAAAGTCCTTGATGTTCTGGTGTTTATAATTTATTGTGGACATTTCGCTATCTTTTTTGGATACAGATCTTTATTTTCATAAACATGGATAATTTTCATTGAGTGCAGTGTGATCTCATGATACTTTTGTAGTATTTCATCATTATACTTATATTCTTTTTAAAATTTGGGTACTGTTGAGGGAAAGTGAGAATGACATGATTTTGATAACTTGGTAGAAGAACCTTTTTCATTCATCTGGTGTTGCCACACTGGGGCTCTGGGTGCTTTATGAATCATGTTCACAAGTCATATTTGTGTCCATGGTTCTTTTCACTATAGCCACCATAGTTCAGGGTGAGATTTTTCACACCGACTGTAAAAGATTATCTGCAGACAATGGTAATGAGCTTGTCTGGTTGGTGTCCTGTTGTTTTCCCAAGTACATATTTGGAAGAGAATGAACAAAAGACTAAAACATGGGTGAATAGATGTTTTGCAGTGAGCTAAAAAACAACAATTCACTTTACAAGAACAATTGCTTGATATTCTACAGCAGTTTTGCAGATTTCTGAAATGGAAGAAACATAGTGATGGAATGCTGCTAAAAGAAATACAAGAGAATAACACCTTTGGTGCTTGTCAGTCTCATTTTGAAATTTTTTTAAAAAGCTGTCAATTACATGTTTGGTGACTGCCTTGAAAGTTCTAATTCTGTTGCATGTGGATCCACAAGGAGGCTTAGGAAGCCTGATGGCAGAATACAAATTGTCTTAAAAGAGTTCATAGATATTCACAATCTTTGTATTGAAGGAAGTAAGATGAAACTCCCCAGGTCCGGTTAGGGCAGCGCTGGGAATACAAGGTGAGAAATTGGAAGAATTTACCACACACAAAAAAATGGTATGTCTGTATTAGTCCGTTCTTGTATTGCTATAAAGAAATACAGTACAATACCTGAGACTGGGTAGTTTATAAAGAAAAGAGGTTTAAATGGCTCACAGTTCTGCAGGCTGTACAAACATGGTGCTGGCATCTGTTAGGCTTCTGGGAGAGGCCTCAGGGAGCTTTTATTCATGGTGGAAGGCCAGCAGAAGCAAGAGAGAAAAACAGTGGGGAGGTGACACAATTTGCAACAACCACATCTTGCAGGAACTCCGTATCAGGAAGTCAGCACCAAGCCTGAGGGATCTGCCTCCATGACCCAAACACCTCCCACTGGCCCCTGCCTCCAACATTGGGGATTAAAATTTAGCGTGAGATTTGGTGGGGACATATATTCAAAACATATTAGTGTCATTTTATGAAATATTCTGGGCTGAAAAAGGGGATCTACAAGCAACTTTAAAAAGAAGATAATTAACATCTCTCGGTTAACAGTTTCTAACTTGAATCCTAAATGGGCCAAGTGTGCAGCATACTTGTGGTTTTTGATCAGACACTACCTGTGATCTCTCTTTTTCTTAGTTCTAATAAAGAAACAGATACTAAGTCTTAGAAAGTTTCTAATAATTTGGGCACAATAGCATTTTTTTAAACAAAGACCTAGAGCAACATGTTGCTGAACTTTCTGAGCAAAGAAAGTCAAGTGATATAGAAAACTGATTCCTGAGCCAGGGGCAGTGGCTCACACCTGTAATCCCAGCACTTTGGGAGGCCAAGGTGGGCAGATCATGACATCAGGAGTTCAAGACCAACCTGACCAAATATGGTGAAATCCATCTCTATTAAAATACAAAAATTAGCCAGGCACGGTGACATGTGCCTATAGTCCCAGCTACTTGGGAGGCTGAGGTAGCAGAATTGCTTGAGCCCAGGAGGTGGAGGTTGCAGTGAGCAGAGATTGTGCCATTATACTCCAGCCTGAGTGATAGAGCAAGACTCCGTCTCAAAAAAAAAAAGGAAGAAAAAGGAAAACTGACCCCTTCAAAATCCATTTTGAATGTAATAGCAGAAAGTTGTTTTCCCCCCTTGCAAATTACAGGCATATGTCAGAGATATTGGGGATTCAGTTCCAGACCACCTCAATAAAGTGATTATCACAATAAAGCATGTCAGATGAAGTCCTAGACAGCATCTCATTCCACATAAGGCTATTTTGTCTACACTGAAAAACTGTTGTTCAGTGTAGCCACCTTTATCAATGATCTTCTGGATAACTTGTGGCAGTGTCTACATTGGCACTTGCTGCTTCACGTTGCACTTTTATGTATGGAGACAGCTTCTTTCCTTAATCCTCATCAGCCAGTGTCTGCCAGCGTTAAACTTTTCTGCAGCTTTCTTATGTCTCTCAGTCTTCATAGAAAAGAAGAGAACGGGGGCTTTGTTCTGGATTAAACATTGGCTTAAGGGAATGATATGTCTGATTTGACCTATCCAGACCGCTAAAACTTTCCCCAGATGAGCAAAAAGACTGTTTCACTTTCTTCTTATCCCTATATTCACTGAGGTTGCACTTTTAATTTTTTTTCAAGAACGTTTCCTTTGCATTCAAAACTTGGCTAACCCTTTGGAACAAGAGGCCTAGCTTTCAACCTATCCAGCTTTTGACATGCCTTCCTTGCGAAGCTTAATCATTGCAAGCTTTTGATTTAAAGTGAGAGACTTGCAAGTCTCCCTTTCACTTGAGTGCCTAGAGGCCACTGTAGGGTTATTCATTGGCCTAGTTTTAACATTGTGTCTCAGGGAACAGGGAGACTTAATGGGAGGGAGAGAGATGGGGAACAGATGATTGGTGGTGCTGTCAGAACACACATATTTACCAATTCAGTTTAAAGTCTTATATGGGTGTGGCTTTTGGCACCCCCAAACAATTATAATAGTAACATCAAAGATCACTCACCACATATCATCATAACAGATATAATAATAAAAAGTTTGAAATATTGTGAGGATTACCAAAATTTGACACAGATACATGAACTAAGCACATGCTGTTGGAAAAATGGCGCTGATAGACTTGCTCAATGCAAGGCTGCCACAGCCATTCAATTTATGTATATATATATGTATATAAAAGACAGTATCTGTGAAGCACAATAAAGCAAAGTGTACAATAAAATAAGTATGACTGAATAAACTTTTAGTCCCTCAGGTTTTCAATTAATAAAACCACTTGGGAAAGTCAATTACTTGCCATGAAAAGCTGCATTTTGTTTAGAAAACTAGAAAATATGCTATTCCCTCATTTTTATTCTTTTCATGCATAATATTGTTAAACTCTTAATTAATGTTCACTGATTAAATATAATCTATCTGACTTATGCTAAACACATTTAGCTCTCATTTTTTTTTCATTAGTTTCAAGATAAACTGGTTATAACTTAGACTAGAATAATTAATATTTGAAATTTTGATGTTTCAGAGTCCAGGAATGCTTTATACTCAGCAATATTTTGACTTTCTTTTCCATAATCATCTAAAACAGAAGTCATGTGGTAAAGCATTTGAACCAGAAGAAAATAGTTAAAGAAATGTAACCATTTTATGGAAAGAGAAGCAGGCAGTTTCCAGAAGAGCAGGATATTTACCGACCTAACCAATGTTAGTCACTTTGGACATTTTCTTAAGAGGGTTAGTTTATAATTTTATATCAAATCAAGTCTACCTAGATATGTCAGATGGCTGGATCTCAGTTAAAGGAAATATACAGTGAGGATAAATAAAGAAAAATAGATCATATTATTTTGGAGATAAATATTTATAATCATTGAGTCAAGCAGAAAATTATTTAAACGAGCAACAGAAGATTCTTGTATATCAATGTGAAATTTGGGGGGAACATAAAAATACAAATCAGTAAAAAGGAACTTAATGTAGATAAGCTTTGAGGTGGCAAGGGAAATTGACAAGGGAAACTTCTGACTTTAAATCATAGAAAGTATGTGAGTTTCATTTGATCCGACATAAATCTTTCATTGTCAGGTTGAGACACAGAACAGGAATGGCAAGAAAGGCAGGAATGAGGGATCAGAGGTAGAAAAGGCTCTGAAGTTGAGAAAATTGAGTCTGGGTCCTTTCATTGTCAGATGGTTCCATCAAGAAGGAACAAGAAGAAGGAAAGAAACTGCTATTATTTTCTCCCTTAATGCCCACCCATGTCAGGCCACGTACCAGGTACTTTCATTACATGCCAACCATGTGACTTGGGACAAGTTAATTCTCAAGTCATAGTTTCCTTGGAGATGATACTAGTAGAATTGTGTGAGAATTAAGTTATT